TCTCGAAAAAAGCTTCGGATTAGAAAACCAGCGATTCAAATGCCATGTGGGAAGGTAGTGATCAGTCTTTTTTGCCTTTTTCCTCCATGTCAGTGTGAACAGCTTAAGTTTCTTTGGCTTAGCTCTGGCCAGACCGGTCGATGTCCCTTACTTAGTTTCTATCAATGCATCATGAGTTCCACTTTACGTTTGTCTCCGGCTACTTCTGCTAGCCTCTTTTGTTTTCTTTTTCCGTGGATGCTTTTGTGTCGTTATCTCCTAAAGTCAACCACCCACCGACTGTGGTGTGTATTCCAGCAATAGATATTTTGTGTCATTTTGGAAGTGCTTGCTTTGCAGACTAAAGAAGTAATGTCATAGACTCCAATTTTGTCTGTAAATTAAAATGGAAAAAGTTTTTCATTGTGATTTAGATCTAGGTATGATTAAAAGCATAAACAATTTTGGGCAATGGTCTTGTGTAAAAGTTACCAACAGTTTTGTCTAAAATACTGATAATATGCAATATGCCATACTTATCTTAGAAAAGTTCCCTTTATTTTACTAGATTGACAGTAGTAACTCAAGTGATTGCCCTCTCTCTGTTCAGTAGTGGATATGTTATAAAAGGAAGGTTTTAAAAAAAATTTTGTTATTTAATGTGAAAATGAGTTCAGCTTTTCCTTGCACTGTAAAAGATCTCATTTGTTCATGTGTGTTAGCTTTATGTGTTCATTGTGCAGCAATATTTCACTGTCTTCACTTCTATCATTCTTCCCCTGTCCCACGGCCCCTCATTTACGATTCATCAGTGTCACTAGCTTGTCCACCTTTGCTAAAATGTCTCTACTCAGAGCAGGATTCACACTTTGCTTACTATTAAAGACACTCATTATTCATACAAGTTTGGCAGTAACTTCTCAGGTGAAACTGTTTCCCTAATTTTATGGTCAAATTTTGAAGTCAGTTCTCAAAAAGGAATAGTGCTTTTTTATTTTCAAGATGTGTGGATTGCTTGCGACAGTGGGGAAATGTGCGTCACAGCTTGCAGAGGAGTATGTAGATAAAATCGGGCTGTCAGTTATTCAGTTTTGAAAGTTATTTTTTAAAGTCTTCATTTATTGTAGAGTGTAGAGAGGGAGGGAATTGTCTTTCTACTTTGCCTTTTTTTCTTTTTTCTCTCCTTGCACTTTTCTTTTCATGGTTATGTTTAACCCTTTGAGGATGTAGCGGACATATAATATGTCCAATCATCAGAAGGCCAGAGGTAATATTGCAACTTATTCCGAACCTTCAAACACAAATCACAAACAAGAATTTGCTTATTTCATATTATGCATGTTATTGCCTGCGGTTTTTATGTTTCAGATGAAGAAAACTGGAATTATGAAATTTGTATGAATAAGAAAGTTATTATTTTTTAAAAATGGTGTCAGTAAACGTTGCGGTTGCTGAACGACCAAAATGCGGGTCCTTAGCCCCTTCCCTTTACTGCCAGGCCCTCACTATAGTCTTAGACTATAGTTTAAAAAGTTTTGGGCTGAGCAGTGAATGAGTTAATGAGTGAAGACTTTAGAGATCTTGCGAGGGAAACATGAGAACAAGAAGAAGGCCATTGTTCTGTGGTACCCGATGACTGTGATTGTTTATTCAGTTTTGCTGACTGTGCTATATCACCAATACTCAGTGTAGAGGATTTATCACAATGAGGTTGTGAAAGTTTTAATCACAGTACTGAGTAGTATTTCCTGCAAAGTTGTGAGACTTTTAATCTTTAGAAATGAGGCATGTTCTGAGGGAACTTGACCCGTCTGAAAATGTTCTCACTAGGGCGGACTTACTTTGTATCGGAAGAGCTTTCAGTCGGGAAGCCAAGTCACACTTTTCCCCCGCGAATGGAATGGTGTGAATTATTTTTGCTTTGCATGTTGAAAATACTACGAATTCAACATTTTTCTTTTTGAAACGCATGTCTCTCTCCTGCTTTGAGCTGCCTCCCCCCCTCCCCCCCTGCTCCCCTTTCCCTTTCTCCCCTCCCCCCCCCATCTCCCTCGCAATAATAATTATTAGATATCTAATTACTATCTGTATAAGCCATCCCTGTGCCTAGTGAATTCACTCTTTCCTCTGCTGTGCAGGAACCCCGCTAAGAAAGAAAAGCGGTATGTATTTGCTTAGTCGTTAACATTCAGCGCTCCTCCTGCCTTGGACATCTGGCTGTTTTTTTTTGGTTCTTTTTCCTCCTCCGTTTACCTCCGGGTCGTGTTGAGTACACCCGCCACCCTGTCTGCCTTGAGCCTTTTCACGTTTCCGTAACCCTTAACCTTGTCTGGCGGTAACCTTGTAACCAAAGCGGGGATAGAGTAGAAGGAGTAGGCTTGTTTTGTGAGGAAGAGTTGTTGACCTCATGTCTTTCTGAAGTGGCGTAGTTTATATAAACCAAACCGGGGATAGAGTAGAAGGAGTAGGCTTGTTTTGTGAGGAAGAGTTGTTGACCTCATGTCTTTCTGAAGTGGCGTAGTTTATATAAACCAAACCGGGGATAGAGTAGAAGGAGTAGGCTTGTTTTGTGAGGAAGAGTTGTTGACCTCGTGTCTTTCTGAAGTGGCGTAGTTTATATAAACCAAACCGGGGATAGAGTAGAAGGAGTAGGCTTGTTTTGTGAGGAAGAGTTGTTGACCTCATGTCTTTCTGAAGTGGCGTAGTTTATATAAACCAAACCGGGGATAGAGTAGAAGGAGTAGGCTTGTTTTGTGAGGAAGAGTTGTTGACCTCATGTCTTTCTGAAGTGGCGTAGTTTATATAAACCAAACCGGGGATAGAGTAGAAGGAGTAGGCTTGTTTTGTGAGGAAGAGTTGTTGACCTCATGTCTTTCTGAAGTGGCGTAGTTTATATAAACCACACCGGGGATAGAGTAGAAGGAGTAGGCTTGTTTTGTGAGGAAGAGTTGTTGACCTCATGTCTTTCTGAAGTGGCGTAGTTTATATAAACCAAACCGGGGATAGAGTAGAAGGAGTAGGCTTGTTTTGTGAGGAAGAGTTGTTGACCTCATGTCTTTCTGAAGTGGCGTAGTTTATATAAACCAAACCGGGGATAGAGTAGAAGGAGTAGGCTTGTTTTGTGAGGAAGAGTTGTTGACCTCGTGTCTTTCTGAAGTGGTGTAGTTTATATAAACCAAACCGGGGATAGAGTAGAAGGAGTAGGCTTGTTTTGTGAGGAAGGGTTGTTGACCTCGTGTCTTTCTGAAGTGGCGTAGTTTATATAATGTAGCCTTCAGTTTATAGAGCTTCAGTGGCAAAGGTGTTGTCATGTGGAAGGGGCTAAATATTTGCTACTTTTGCATCTGTATTTAGCAGCGTCTTTGTCTTGTGGAAGGGGCTAAATATTTGTTACTTCTGTGTCTGTATTTAGCACTGTAGTTGTCTTGTGGAAAGGGGCCATGTGTACCCCCATGTCTGGTTTTGTGACATTTGCCACTTTCTGTTTGTAGTTGTATGCTTTCCAGAAAGTTGAGAATATTTCTGAGACTTCTAGGGTCCACCCTGGTAATAATATAGATTGTAAAGTAGACAGATCTTGCTGTTGAGCGGAGGTATACAAATACTATTTATTATGTTTCATAATGCTCCTGTAAAATTCTTTGCTGTCCGCTTTTTATTCTTCTGCCTTATATCTTTGCTCAAGCTAAGAACTGTGTAGGTCAGGGATATTTACCCATCTGTGTTTGTTGACACCACCGCTTTTAGATGAGTTGTGTGCTGGCTGTGTGTTTGCTATGCTGGCTTTCTCTGAGTGCTGCCTGGCCTTCCCATATCTTTCGTAGTTTATTTTTTTGACCAATGGTAGCATTTCTGTGACTACTCCCACACATAACGCTGTCTGTTTTGTGTAATGTCTGCTTACAACTATGGCTGACTTGATTGATTGGTTATTCAGTTTTGTCAACTTAACAGTTTGGTTATTCAGTTGTGTTGACTTAACAGTTTGGTTATTCATTTTTGTTGACTTTACAGTTTTGTCAACTTTACAGTTTGGTTATTCACTTTTGTTGACTCCACAGTTTGGTTATTCTGTTTTGTTGACTCTACAGTTTGGTTATTCTGTTTTGTTGACTCTACAGTTTGGTTATTCAGTTTTGTCAGCTTCTCAGTTTTGTCAACTTTACAGTTTGGTTATTCACTTTTGTCAACTTTACTGTTTGGTTATTCAGTTTTGTTGACTCTACAGTTTGGTTATTCAGTTTTTCTAGCCTTTATTTCCATATTGTTACGTATATGTTCTGTTTATTTGTTTGTGTTGAATGAGTCACCTCTGGTGTTATTGTCAAGGCAGTTCTTGCCATGTCGCGACTCCAGTACCTTCTTGTCATATCTTCATTTTTAATAACGATGAAAACAGTTTGTAACAAAGAGTGAGCTTAAGAAGATGTCTCATTTTCACTGTTTAAAAAAATGGAGATACGACAAGAAAGCACTGAGGTCGCGATGTGTTTAGCCGTTTATAGAGCCAATGTTGAGACCTGTATGTAATGTTTGTGTTAGCTAGAATTTCTAGTGACTCTCTTTGTCCTTATTGCTTAGATGGAGATGTCAAGGACTGTACTGGCTCTCTGCCTTTTTGTTGTTTCGCTTTTTGCATTTTAAGTCAACATTCATCTCCCTTGTTCATCAGTTACCCCCCGCGGCGGTGCCACTGACTGAAGTGTCTTTAGGCCATTCCCAAAGGGGGGGACATTTTTCGTTCATGCACAGTAGAATTGTAAATGGACTGATTCATCAATGTCACGCTCTTAACTGTGCCTGATCTACAACAGGGAGCTGCTGCTTTTTCTTTCCTAATCCTTACTATTGTCATTTTTCCGCTACTTCTTTTTTAATGTTTGTCACACTCTTGTGACCCAATATTTCCGAGGTGCCTTGACAGTCGAAGCAGACTTTGTGCTGTTGAAGCGAGAGAGGTGAGCAGAGTAAGTCTGATTCCCTGTAAGGACTTCTTTGTTGACATCCACCCCTTGGCGCTCATATGACCATATGCAGTTGCGAGCGCCGTAAAACCTCTACTAAAACTAAACTAAAAAAATGTTCATCAGTACGGAATTGTGTCCTGTTTGGTGTCTTTACTTCTTCAGGTGTCTGAAGCAGACATTGATGACCATGGCACCCCACTCCTTCCTGTTGTTCGTCATCCTGATCAGCTCAGTTTTTTTTTCACTGTGTCGTTTGTTGCAAAGCTGTTGAGGCCATCTGTATACATGTTGTTCTTTGTCTGTCTTTGCTTTTCTTTCCCTCAAAGTGGGTGGTTGGCAGGTGCTCTGGTGTGGTTAGCTCTTTCTTTCCTATCAAACATCCATTGTCATTATCTCTTTACTCCTTCTTTTTTGTGTGTGTTACTCTTGCAACGCGTCTATTCTTCGGCACTTATAATGACCTTATTGTGTTGCAAGTGCCGTAAAACTCTTACGAAAACTTCCCCTCAAACTTTCCACAGGGCAGCAGTTTATCTCGTCAGTTTGATCTTTTTTATGTGGCTAAAGAGTCTCAGTTGTCTCTTTCTGATGTGGCTCTGAGTGCAGATTTTTCACAACCTGCCCTTGTCTTTACTGACTGCAAGTCTAGAAAAATGTCTGGAGTGTACTTTGTGCCCGGTTCTCATTTGCTTGTCATTGCTCAGTTATTACATTATTGTTTGAGTCTGTTGTGAACTAACAAGTTAGGGGTTTCAGAGGTAATAGCAGGAATAAACTTGCAAACTTGTTTGGATTTTATGTTTTTGACTGTTTCAGTTTGTACTAGAACTTGAAGAAGTGTAATTTGTGTTTGATGGAGGCATGAAGAGATCACCTTCTTTGAATTTAACTTGAAGGGTTGGAAGAATAAGATGTCTGCTAAATGGGTGGGGAGAACATTTTAAAAATTGAGTATCCCTGTCTTTTTGCTGGGATGTTATGTATCCCTCTCAGCCCGGGTTGGCCGCCCTGACAGTCAAGGTCGGAAGCCTGTTTCATAAATGATCTAAAATGTGTTGATGAGGGCATATAAGAAGACCTATATTTTAAAAAACCTCCGAAAAGCTGTCAAGATGTCTCAGTGTACAAGAATGTCTTCCTTACGTTCTGGCCTGTTATTTTTTGTTTTGTTTTTGTATTGGTTGTTTTTTTTTTTCATGTGGTGTGGGTTTTTTAATGGCGGGTCTTAGGTCATAGGTCAGAAAGGGGACAAGTGTTACTGCTGGGGAGTGTCAAGGCTGCATGGGTTACTGAACTAGCCGTAGCCGTGAGCTTAATGCTGCATGATGAGATGTGTACTAGAAGTAGTGGTCTGTTGTGACACTGTATTGAGCGAAATCTAACTGCAAGCGACCTGTTGTGCTTTCTTTCTTGTTTGGCGTTGACTAACATTAGTTAGAGAAAAATTCTCTCCTTTCATTACAGTTTTGTGGTTGGTGGGTGCTCTGTGCCTTCTTTCCTCTCAAACATGATCTATCGTCATTATCTCTCCTCCTTCCTTTTTTTTGTGTTTGTTACTTCCTTGTAGCACCTCAAATCTTCGGCACTTATATGACCTTATTGTGTTGCAAGTGCTGTAAAACGTACTAAAACTGAACTGTCTCTCCCCTCCTTTTCTTCGTATGTTACTCTTTTGTAAAAACCTTTAATCTTGGGCACTTGTACGACCTTTTTGTGTTGCAAGTGCCGTAAAACTCTTACTCTAGTCTCTGTGTAACAGTAGGGTGTGTTTACTGGAGTTGACGCTCTGGCCAAACCTTCAAAGCTTCTGGCATGATTGTCGGCTGAAAGATTTCATTTGGTTCGAGGGATGTTAAGCGAAATATGCGGAAATTTGTTAGTGCTAAGGTACCGGCACTTACATGACTTAATTTTGTTACAAATGCTGTAAAACTCTTATCGAAATTAAAACTTAGTTCTAAAGAACAGTCCTTTCTGCTCTTATGGCTGCCTTTCTATGACAATCGCCAACACTACAAACAACAAGTTACCACTTTCCCCGTTGAGTTTTTTCTATAATATTATAATAATATAATGATACCGTCCAAGACATCCACCTGTCTAAGACAACCACTTTTTTCCCCCATCTGTATATATGAATACCTTGACCACAGGGTTGATTTTGGCCCTGGTTTTTTTTTTTTTTCCCCCAACTTGTCTAGTAAAAGTCCTCTTATTTTCATTTTCACCCGCTTTAGTTCCTGTGCTGTCGCTTCCCTCATTCCCTCATTCTTACTTTCTCCTGCCAAAGACACCCACCCTTCCCCTCTCAGTCTGGGTTGGCCCTGACAGACAGGGTCAGAGAGAGTGCCTCCTAAATGATTTAAATTGTGTCGATGGGGGGCATAAAAACAGATAACATTAAAAAAATCTCAAAACGCACCCACACCTGTGCAAACTCACGTACACTTTGACAAATACTCATGGACACACTCTTGAACATTTGTATAATGTATATATATAGAACATCAATCCATCCATGATCCATCCGTCCATCCATCCATCCATCCATCCAGAGGGAAACGCTTCCTTGTCAATCCATCCATGATCCATCCGTCCATCCATCCATCCATCCATCCAGAGGGAAACGCTTCCTTGTCAGCCTTATGTCCTATTTTTCTTCTTCCTCTGCTTAAGTTGATCTGCTTTCAGTTGATGATGCCACTGAGATGCATGTTATTATACGAATATATTTATACACGTATACCGCACACCTGTATATCTTAGCAATTGTGATTGAACAATGTATTGGCATCATGTTCTGACCCAGCACCTAGCGATATGACTGTGGGTAGTTGGCGGGTGCTCTGCTGTGGTTTGCTCCTTCTTTCCTATCAAACATCTATCGTCCTTATCTCTCCTTCCCTCTTCTCTTTGTATGGTTACTCTCTTGAAGTAGCACCTGTAATCATCGGCACCTGCAAGACCTACTTGTGTTGTAGTACTGTAAAACTCTTACTAAAACTTAAAAAACCCAACAACAGTGACTTGACTTTGTAAGGAAAAACTGTCACAGTCATAGACTCAGACATATTAGGGAGTGCTTGGTGAGCTCAATTGGCATTATGCTGAACTACGGAGTTGATGGCCTTGGTTCGTATCTCTGACTGGGCGTTCTTGAACTCTGGTGGTCGTTCTGTGGAGTTTTCTATTCTCTCAACCACTTTTGCCAGGTCCTATCGAAGATGGAGGTTAAATTCGGAGGTCCCGCCTCTTGAATAACCTAAGAGAGTCAATAAAGGCGTTAAATCCATACACTTACTAGACATTTGGCTCTGAAACTGTTGTCTTAGACTCACCTGGATACCGGTATTCTCCATTTTCAATCAAATATCCTCTATAAAAACAGAAGACGATAAAGTCAGAACCCAGCAGGTACACCTGAACAAGAAAAAAACCGATGAGTATTGAGAACAAGCAACAAAACTAACAATATGTAAAAGTATAAAACACCACACGAAAATAAAAATGGCTAACATTTTGATTGGGCAGATAACGTTGGAGGGCGCCACTAGTAGGTCATACTTCTTTTCTTTCCCTATGTTGTTTCTGTCTGTCCGTCTTACTTTTTCACTGCTTTAAATTATTGTTAATGTCTTTTACTCTCTCAAACAAACAAAAATGAAAATATTTTTCGTGGCTCAGGGTTTGAAAGTTACAAGGGGTGGGTTTGACTAAGACCTCTGGTTTGATCTGCGGCTTTTATTTTTTTTGGGTTGGAAAATAAAAAAATTCCCTGAGTTTGATGTACTTCTTGACCAAAGTGTCCATCATTTCAGCAACTGACTGTCAATTGCAGCCCTAGCTCAACCCAGCTCAGCAAAACGTGCAAGCAATGTTCGCCCAGTTCCCCTCTGTTCTGCTTGCCCGCAGCTGTCAAAGTTTATGCTCACCCTTCATTCTACTATTTTTTTCACGTTAATGTGCACCCACCATAAATTTCTTTCGTTACCACTTTATGTTGGTATATGTGCCCCCCTTATAGTGGAGAAGACACTGTTGTCGTAGCAACCGCTGTATGCACCTTTTATGTGTGTGTGTGGTTTTTTTTTTTTCTCATGACATTTTATTCCAAACTCCAAATCATGACCATAAGTGAGTTTGCCAATAGAAATTTAAAGAAATAGATTTCTAACAGCTGATGTTTCTTAAGCTGAAGACTGAAATAGTGATAAGGAAGGTTGGCTTAAACCCAAGAGGTCTACCCTGCTCGAGGGGGAAATGGCTATACCAGTGTGCTCAATGAGAAGTTAATGCAATGTGTTTTTGTAAAATAAAAGTTGATGAAAATGTCGTGAATGTATAATCATGTATTGATAATTTGTAGTATAATGCTTTTTCTGGTTGGTAATATTTTGTATCATATTTTTTCTCAAGTTCAACTTTTCTTACTGCACAGTATGCTTTCTATTATGAGCACATAATATATTAGAAATATTTTGCTGATGGAGAGTAATGTATATGCATAACCTGGTTGTTTAAAAACGTTTTTCTTCTTTTTTTTTGTTTAAGCTGAACCACACGTAGATTTTTTGTTAAGTTAGTGAAGTTTTTTCCCTACTATTTAACACAAATTTAACTAATTTTTGAGCTTGCGCACCATTTAATCTTTCAAAAGATCTTGAGCTTAGCTTTTTTTTTCTAAAACTCACACAATTTTTGATCATGAAAATACCCAATTTTTACCTGTTCTCCACACTTTTACCATTCATTCAAAACAGAGATGCATAAAATCGTCTTTTTTTGCTTCTCTAAAAGAAATTCAAAATGTATCCGTTCACCGCGCACGCTGTTTTTGATTTCCAGACTGTATGTAGAAACTGGTGAACTCTCCGGTGACCCTTCCTTTTTTTTGTGGCTGGCACATGGGACAAGGGGCACAGAGCCTAATCCTACTGTAGGAACGATCCATCATGTGTGTTTAGCTGTAGTGCTAGTTAGGCTTTGAACTCGACAGAAACCAAATAAAAAAATAAATTAAAAAATTACATTTTATTGATCCCCGTGGGGAAATTTGGGGTTGATCATACTTGTAGTGTCAGTTCAGCTGCGTGGTATGTGTTATTGTCAGCGTTGTTCCACAAATGCCTACGTTGTTTGTATTTTTTTCTCTAATTTAAAAAAAATCGTAGAAAAATAAATATCCGAAATGAGAACAATGATTTGGGCGTTTTTTATTTTTAAATCAAAGACTAGGAAGTAGATAATAAAACAAAATCCAGTTAATAATACAAGATGTCTCTGGATGAACCTCCTAGATTGATATCAACAACATAATAACAACAACCTTAAGTAAACAACTTTGCAACAAAAAACAGCATAATGAGAAAAACGGAGTTGATTAGGAAGACAGACAATAGGAAGGGGTGGGGTACCACAATTGTCAGTGTCTGCTTCAGACCTGACACCTAAAGTAGAAGAGGAAGAGGAAGAGGAAGAGGAAGAAGAAGAAGAAGAAGAAGAAGAAGAAGAAGAAGAAGAACTTTGTTTGGAACCCCTCCCCCCAAAAAAACAACAACAACAAAAAACAAAAAAAAACTGGGCAAATGGGGATTAACGCTGACGTAATATGTTTTAATGGACAATGGACTGTTGTTTTTCACTGTTGCTCCACGCAGTCCTCAGTCTCTCGGTTCTGTTTCCGTTTGCCGCAGCTACCTGCAAGACACCATCAACTTCCTGCTGGGCATTCTCAAGCGAGAGCGCGACCGCTCCCAGGCATTCCTGGCCGTGGGTTTCCTGGCGATCGCGGTGCAGGGGGAAATCTTCACGTACATGAGCAGGATCATGGATATCATCCGTGCCTCGCTGCCCTCCAGGGATCTCTCCACAAAGCAAGTTTATTTTTCCTTTTTTAAACAGGGATGCCAAATCTCAGGTTTTTCAGGCTTTTTCATGTTTTTTTTCCCCAAAAATCTTTTGGCCTCCCTGAAGAAGAAGGCCACTGACATAAGGTCCTTCTTCTCAGGACAGATATAATATTACTGGAATTGGCGAAACAAAGTCCGCCCCATACCCTTGCAAAGGAAAGGGGAGAGGTAAGAGCGATGTTTTTGTGTGCTCATTGAAAAACTTTACTAGGTTTGTTTCAGGTGAGATGTGATGCTCCGCTCATTTTCAGTTTTTTTTTCAAAAATCATTTGGCATCCCTGTTAAAAGATATAAATAGCTTTTTAACAACACATATTTCCGCTCAACAGTAAGCTCTGTGCACTCTACAATCTATATTATTACCCCAGCTAGGGACCTCTCTACTGGCAGGTTTATTTTACTGATTTATATATATATATATATATTGTCTTGTCTTTCAACATTGTAGTAATGTGGAAAATTTTGAAAAAAAAGGGAAATCAAGTTTGTTGCAGAATTTGATGAGGCGGAACCATTGGTGTTAGTCTCATTCATCTTCTTGAAATAGGAACGGCTTTAAACAGATTAAATATTTTTATGTAAAGATAACATCATGAGTGAAATTGAACAGTATTTTTGCTTCTCCTGAAGTCTTTGAGAGTAAAATGTTTAATACTATTTAAAATGTTTTTTTTAAAATTATAAAACCCATGAAATATTTTCGTAAACCATATTTAGGGATATGTTATTGTTCCACTGATTTGAATTGTGTAAAAGATTTTTTAAAATGTAACTCTTTGTTATATTCGTACTGAGGTTCTTATTATTATAGTACCCTTTTCTTTAAAAGGTTCAAACATTAGATCTGAAAATGAATGACTCAATGCATACGGAGATTTCTGCTGTCGGATTCGGGATTGAAATATTTCAGTTTTTTAATTTTATGTCTGGGGTCAAAAGAAAACAATTGTAATTTCAAGAGCATACTTGTGTACAATTTGAACCCACTTGTATGTTTTATGACGGAGTTCACAGTCAGTTGTTTTTCTGCTGGAAGCTTGTAGGTTTTTCTTCTTCACTTTATTTCTGAAAAGAGTTTTTTGAATTCAAACAAAAGTGACGTCTGTGGTGTAGGGGTTTGACACTTTGCTGTTTCATTCATGAGACCTGAGTGCGACTCCTGTGTGGGGTGAATTTTTATGGTGTATCTCAGTCTTTCTTCTGGGACATTCAATGTATCCCTGTCAGCCCGGGTTGGCCCTACAGACAGAACCAAAGCCCTACTCCTAAATGATCTAAATTGTGTCAATGGTGGTGTGAAACTCCTACATGAATGAAAAAAATGAAGACCTGAAACAAAGACAAGATCCAGAAATGAATTATACCCAAAAATTATTGGGCCGCAGATACCTACTAATGCCAGTGATGTATGTATATTACAAAAATAAAACTAAAAAAAAATGAAAACCGAGGGTTAGAACAGAATCATTCCCTCAAAATTTATTAGACAGCAGATATCTACAAATGCCAGTGTTGGGTTTCCCCTACTAACATTCCGTCGCGCCGCGTGTGTGTAAAGTGAGGTCACTGTCTCGTCGTGCTACAGGAAGAACCGTAACTTCGTGGTGGACCCAGCGGTGTTCACCTCCGTCAGCATGCTGGCCCGCGCCATGGGCCCCACGCTCACCCACGACGTGAAGGAGCTGCTGGAGTCTATGCTGGCCACAGGACTCAGGTGGGCACCTTTCAATTTTTTTCATTTTTCACTTTCTCATTTGCTTCTTTCTTTCTTTCTAAAAAAAAAAAGAAAATTAAAGTCCTTTCCAATAGTGTGCTCTCCCCCCCCCCCCTTCTTTTTTTTTCTCTTTTTTTTTTGGGTGGGTTTAGTTTTTCAGGAAGTGTTACATTTTGTACAGATAAGATAAGATCAATCTTTTATGTCCAGATCCTGGCCCATTAATGTTTCTAGTACTGTAAACTACTTTGGTCTAACATGTGTGTCGTTTATGATCCCCCCCCCCCCTCCCCTCCGTCCGACATATAGCCCTGCCCTGACGGCGGCCCTGCGAGAGCTGGCCACACAGATCCCACAGCTCAAGAAGGACATTCAGGACGGGCTGCTCAAGAACCTGTCGCAGGTGCTCATGGGGCAGACGCTGAGGCACCCGGGCGCCTCCAGCATACCCTCACAGCTCCTCTCAGGTGTGTGTGTGTGTGTGTGTGTGTGTTGTGTGTGTGTTCTCTTTGTTGTTACTCCAGCATTCCTTCACAGCTCCTCTCAGGTGTGTGTGTGTGTGTGTGTGTGTGTGTGTGTGTGTGTGTGTGTGTGTGTGTGTGTGTGTGTGTGTTCTCCTTGTTGTTACTCCAGCTTACCCTCACAGCTCTTTTCAGGTCTGTTCCCTTCCCCCCCCCCTGATCTGATAGGGTATGTCCTCTCCTTGTAATGTTTCTCATAACAGCTTCTATGTATCGCAGTTTTGAGGTCAATTTGTCACGGCAATGACTGACTGTGGCTGTATTGAACAGCTGGTTGACAATTATATATTGTTTTAAAAGGGTATTTTTATCTAAATCTTCATGTTCTAGGATTATACCTTTTTAAAAAATCTGTTAAAATCATGTGTTTTACTATATTGGCTTTTGATGGATACGTGTGCTTACTTTATAGCTGTTTTCACGAAAAAGCATTTCAAGTTGGAATCTGAAAGGACATCTTCAAAGCTGCTCGTCTGTGCCATCTTTTCGTGACTTACAGACCTTAGGACTCAGTCTCCATGTGGTCCGGGAAGTCCTGCTAACAGGTCATGTCAGGTCAATCGCTTGACTGTTGTCTAAAGCTGGTAAATGTACGGGTAGTTGGAGGGCGCCACTGGTAACTCCTATGTCGTCCCTTCGTCTCTAGAGAGTTCTAAAATTATGGTACGGCACGGACGAGAAAGCTTTGAAGAGTCCTATAAGTGTGTGTGTGTGCACTGCTGTACTGAGCTCCTACCAAATACCCGGTCTCAGTGAGCCATTTCAATATCAACTTCTCAGCGCCCCCCATCAACGACGCGAGCGATGTGACCAACGTGACCCTTGCCCTCCGCACTCTGGGCAGCTTTGACTTTGAGGGTCACTCGCTGACCCAGTTTGTGCGCCACTGTGCCGAGCATTACCTGGCCAGTGAGCACAAAGAGATCCGCATGGAGGCGGTGATCACGTGCGCCAGATTGCTCTCCCCGCTGCTGCAGGTAAGAGCTGCTCAAGGAAGATTAACTCTTTGTATACTCGTATAGGATAGAGTGCTATATAAATGCAATCTATTATTATTATTATTGTTATCATCATCATCATCATCTTTATTATTATTTCCTTTATTATTATTATTGTTGTTGTTGTACGGATGGCTAAAAAAACCTTCTCTTTGTATGTTACTCTTTAGTAACAATTTTTGTTACTCTTTAGTAACGTCTACTTTTCGGTAAAACTCGTACTTGAACTAAACAATTGTGCCCCCCCCTCCAGCTGCTGTCCAAACAACAGGGCCATGTGAGCATGACAGCCATGACCACTGTAGCCGAGGTACACACACACACACACACACACACGCACACGCACACGCACACGCACACACACACAGACACACACACACACTCACACACGCACAAAGACGGGATATAGTAAATCTAACAATGTCTCTCTTTCTCTCTCTCTCTCTCTCTCTCTCAATCTCTCTCTCTCTC